GATATAGATAGATTAGATAGATAGATAGATAGATAGATAGATAGATAGATAGATGATAGATGGAGAGATAGAGAGATAGATATAGATATATAGAGAGAAACATGAGCTTGGTTGGGGTATAATAAAGGAGAGGTGCAGATAGGAGAGGGGAGTCTAAATATGATCAAGATATAATGTATACAATTTGCAAAAATTAAACTAATTTTTTTAAATATCAATAAAGGATAAGAAATACTGTGGGTGGAGAGAGGCAACATCTACCCTAGAAGTGTTGAGGAGTTCATATTTTCAAAATACATAGTATGACATTCTCAAAGAACTAAAAAAAAAATTTTTTGGTCTTATTTGAGACAGGGTCTCCCTGTAACCTCAGCTGTCCTGGAACTCACTATGTAGACCAGGCTGGCCTTGAACTCACAGGGATCCGCCTGCTTCTGCCTCCCGAGTGCTGGGATTAAAGGCCTGCGCCACCAAAAAAATTTTTTTGAGAAAAAAAAATCAATAACATTGAAGGAAATGAAAGGCTGTAATGCACCCTAGTGGAGTCACATCTTTCTGTCCTTTTAGGCTTCCACAGTTATGTATTTATAAAAGCAAGCTGTAGAAATTAAAATGGTTTACCAAAGTTAACTCAGATATAATTACATATGTACTCCAGCTCAGGAAATCCCTGCATCTGTTATTATACTCACAGTTTTCTGGAAGTGCCTGTGATGTTTAATCTTGGCATTCAACTTAATTGAATTAAGAAATACCCAGGAGATTACTAGAGCCAACATACCAATGGGTCTGTCTATAAGGGTATTTTATGACCTAATGAATGAATTCAAAATTTAAATAGACTACTGGGGATGGGGTGGAATTCTGAAAGGCAAGGAAAGCTAGAGCGAAGTTACATAGTGGGGGAATGTCCTTGAGAGCTGTATCTTGCCTTGCTATGATTTTGTTCTTCTTCCTGTCTGCCATAATAGAAGCTCCCTCTACTTCCTATCTGCCACAATATGAGTAGCCTCTGCCACTGTTTACCTCCACCATAATGTGCTGCCTCACCACAGACCAGAAATAAGAATCTAAGTGACCACAAACCTTCTGAAACCTTAAACCAGAATAAATCCTTGAAATTGTCTCTGTCAGATATTTTGCCATACCTGTGCAAAAGTTGCTAATACAGTTGCCATTTACAATATATATATTACAAGAGATACAATAGATATATGTGTAGGAATTTGCAATAATCACAGTTTATGATGTCCAATTAAACCAATAATCATCCAATTATACGATTATTTTGAACTTCATGGACAATACTAGTAAGAGCACAAATAATTCCTCATGTCAGTATGCCAAACAAAAAATAAATACTTTAAATGTGAAAGGCTAATACAGTAAAAAAAGAGAAAACTAATATACGAATCTCAGACATGTAAATTTTTCTGTATTAATACAACAACTATTTAAGTCTCAGGAATATCTTCCTCTTCATCCTGTATGTCAAGACAATGAACAGAGCATTGTTGACCCCTTTTTATTTTCAGAGGTAAAGTGGTTAAAAAAAAAAGGTTATTCTGATCCTTGAAATTTGTAAATGGTTTGATTATACAGTGTACTTTTGCTGTGATACATTGAGCAACCCACTGACAAGAAATTGGATTGCACAGGATGCCAAACATAATAAATCCGGATTTATTTAGCATCCTTAACATTTTTGTGAGACTGAAAAGAGAAAGTTGAAGAGTGAAATATCTGGTGCACAGAGGACCATTATTTTGCAAGTGAGTGTCATGTTAACAATAGAAGTTGTCTTGTAAAATAGCCATTTACTCGGGGCAAGTAACTGTTTATGTCAGCCAGGATATAAAGCATTCCCATCTGATTTCCTTTTACTACGTGTGTAACTCCTGTGGAATGGGAAGGTGAATTGTTCAGGCCTGTTAAACTTTGTAATTGGAAGGTTGTATTAAATTCTTCCTAATGATGCTTACAGCTAGATGATGATTTACTAAAAAAGAACGAGAGGAATGAAAGGCCTTACCTTTTAGAGTGAGTGGACTGCGGCTCCTGAATTCTGTAGAGAAGTGCTTTGGCAAAAGCAAATGAAGACCTGTCGCTGATGTCATATACAATCACGAACCCATCTGCCCAGTGGAGCTCACTTGTGAGGGAGAATTTTGCTTTCTGTGGCTAAAAATAAAGCAAGTGTGTTGAAAAACTGGAATCTGACACCAATGGCTTATACTTCAGTTGATTAATAGAGACTCATTTCACCTGGGAGAGACTTCAGTAAGGCAAAGGAATATTTTCTAAAGTGTACCCTGTTAGTCTCTCTATTTTTTCTTTTAATCCTCTTTCTTTAATTAAAAGAAACAATGCCTATAATACCTTTATTCTAGATCACTTTACAACTTCTTTATTTTTATTTTTATTTACTGTTATGTTTTGAAATTTTGTTTATTATTTTTTATTTTGTGTGTTTTGCATTTATTTTATGTGTATGTGTGTATTGCCTGCATGTAGGTAAGTACACCAGTGTCATGCAATTCTCGTAGAGGCTGAAGAGGCTGTCAGATCCCTTGAAACTGGAGTTACAGACAGGTGTTATCGGCCATGTGGATGCTGGGATTCAAACCCAGGTCTTCTGAAAAAACAGCCAGTGTTCTTAACTGCTGAGCCATCTCTCCAGCCCCACAACTTCTTAAGAATATATTTTTATTCTAGAAATTTGATATTATGGCTGCTAAATCAATAATCACATATTTGTATTAAAAAATCTGTTTGGCATTTTTTAGCACATAGAGTATGTATTTTTATCTTGGTGTATGAATATGTATAGGTATGTGTGTCTATATATGTGTGCATGTTCATGCAAGTAGATGTGGGCATCTATCCTGACACACACATGTGGAGGTCAGAGGACAACCTCAGGTGTACAACTTCCCCTCTTCCAACCTGGTTGAGTCAGAGTATTTTGTCATTCCTTGCTGTATGTAATAAAGTAGCTAGATCACAAACTTCACGTCTCCATTTCACATCTCACTGTAGGAACACTGGCATCATGGGTATGTGTTACCATGTTCAGCTTTATGTGGGTTCTGGGAATCCAATCCTTACCCTTCTGTGGCAAGCACTTTACACAGTGAATGATCACTGTGTAAATAGGCATGAATATCTATTTATTTTTGCTACTACCTTTAAACCCATGATGGAGAAAATATTTACAAAGTTTATCTAAAAACATTTATGGAGAAATTTACTTATATCTATTTCTAAACAGAATTATATTGAAATATTAAAAAAACAGACAGCTTCTCTTACTTGTTTAGTCCTTGATTATTTCTGCATGTTGGATTGTGGTTGTTTTAATAAGAATGTCCCTCATTTGTTCCAAGGATTTGAACACGTTGTCCCCAGTTAGGGGCACTGTGTGGGGAGGTTTAAGAGGTTTGTCCTAGCTGGGGAAGTACATCACCGGGGATGGGCTGTAGCCTTGCTCCATATCCTGTTTGTCTTTTTGCTTCCTGCATGTGCTTTAGGATGAGTGCTCAGCTTTCTGCTCTGGCCACCTCTGCTGCCACACCTCCCTGCCATGATGGACTCTTATCCCTCTGGAACCATAATCCAAATAAACTCTTCCTTCCATAAATTGCCTTGGTCATGGAGTTTATCAGCAACAGAAAAGTAACTAATACAGAACTTGGTACCAGGAGTGGGGTGTTGTTGTGAAGAACCAGACAGTATTATTTTTGGAGGAATGTGGAAGACTTTAGAGACTGCCCAGAAAATCAGTTGAATGGTGTAAGTGGTACTTAATGGCTCAAGACATTCCAGCAGGAGACCCAAACAAGGACTGAAACAGCAACTGGAATATTTTGGCAAAAATCTGGCTGCCATGGGTCCCTAAGGACATGCCATAAGCCAAGTTAAAAAGTAATGGACTAATTTATTTGGTAGAGGAAATTCTGAGACAGCCCATACTCAAGAGTGCTTTAAGTCTCAGAAGAGACTTTTAAATTTTGAACAGTGTTGAAACTGTTAATGACTACGTAGATTCTTCAAGGTGAACTAAGTGCATTTTGCATTATGTTATGGTCATGAGTCTTTGGGAGCCAGAGATTGGACTGTAGTAGTTGAATGAGAATGTCCCCCAATAGGCTTGAAGTATCTGAACATGTTGTCCCCTAGTTGGTGGTGCTATTTGGGGAGGTTTAGAAAGTGCAGCTTTTCTAGAGGAAGCAAGTCACTAGGGACATGAACTTTGTCCTATTCCAGGTTGTCTCTCTGTTTACTGTGCTTTCTTGAAGATGTGAGCTCTCAGGTTTCAGCTCCAGCTACCTCCTGCCATGCATTCCCACCATGATGGACTCTTATCCTTTGGGAACCATAAGCCCAGTAAACTCTTCCTTCTGTAAGTTGCCTTGGTCATGGTGTGTATCACAGCAACAGAAAAGTAATAATACATGGATAAAGAAATCTATACTCAAAATTTGTCTTACTTATCCTCTATTGAAAACTGGTATCTTGCATAGAAAATTTAGTGAAATTATGAACAGAATAGAAAAGTCATTCTACCCTTAATTTCTGACAGCTACACTGAGTTGATAGAAATACATTACAAATGAAACTCAGTGCTGCTATTTTAAAGAAGTTTGTTAAGACTGTGTCTTCAAAAATCATTTTTACAGTTCATTAAAATATAATTGACATAATTTTATCAAAATTTGCACAAAAGTCCAATAATACAGTTTATAACACTAAAATAAATATTTCAACATCTTAACAATGAAAACTAAGAAGAAATTTTAGTTCTAATATTGGCAGTATTTCATGTATTCTTACCTACTCTTAAAATCATAATTGAAAAAATAAGAGTGCTTTGTTTGACTTACATGAGAACATGGGTCATAGATTTCAAGATTCAGTTGCTTCCCTTCCAAACACAAGTGTTTATTATAAATGGATTCTGCAAAAAATAGATGTATTCATCGGTGATTGGGAAAATTCCAAAATAAAAATATATATTTATCTAAACATGGTCTGGCAAATTCAACCGGTCATATTTTAATGACATGATAGAGTAGCTTTTTGTTTCTCATGATCAAAACTGTGTATGCTCTGTACAAAAACTGAATTCGTGTTTCTCTTCATGTGCATACTTTCATGTGGTAAAAATGGGCACCCATACCCAAGACTTGTCTTTTTCTCTGAAGAAGTCATGAATTCCTCTCATTCACAACAAACATATCTTCAGTAATTCTACTATAACTCCTCTGTTACGAACTTCTAATTCTTATTGCATTTATTTATTTAGTGGGTGGGTGGAGTATTTGTATATCGATGTGTGCCACAGCACATGTATGGAGATCAGATGACATTTGGGGGGGGGGGCTTAGTTTTCTCCTTTTACCATATGGGTTCCAGGGATCGAATTCAGGTCTTAATTTACCTGCTAATAGCCATGAATATAGCACTTCCTGTCCCTAATCTATTCCTAATTCAAGGGACAGGTGTGAAGCTTGTAAGTATATCAAACCTTTGTCTGATTAAACTATTTCAATCACTCCTTGACTCACTTGGATTAAGCAATACCTCCCACATGTCTGAGGATGTCCCTTGGCTTCCAGCCCTCACCACAAACCTCTGTAGTCATTCTTTAAGACCTCCCTTTCATTCTATCCACTCTATCTATATTAGTCTGCATATCATTCATCATTCTCAAGATTTCTTGTCTCAGAACTTTGGGAATCGTTATTTCTTCTACCAGGGATATAATTCCTCAGTTATCTTCAAAGATCTGTCTTCACCACGCCCCTGTTTGACTGTCAACTTGTCAAGAGTTTTTGCTCTATCTTATTGTTTGCTTTATTTTTGTTTCATGACATCTTGCAATGTATCCCAAGCTATCCTGGAAATTAAGTACATCACCCCAGTCTCAGTCTCGTGAGTGCTGAGCTTACAATCATACACCTCCACATTTGGCTTAGTTTAGAAACAATTCATACTATGTCAATACCATGCCTCTGTTTTGTTTTACTTATCTTTAGAGAATTTATCATATGGTATAATTTATTATTTTCACCCTGATTGAAAGCCCCTTCCTCCACACTATGAACTCTGTGAGAGGTTGAGTATCTATCTTTTTGTTCAGTTAAACACCCTGCTGATGTAGAAATGTACATGGACCACACTAACTGCTCAACGAACATTCTTTGAATGGATGAAATCATTTCTATAACTGTTCCTCCAGCATCTTGATAAAAGGTCTATTTCTCTACGAATTCAGACACTAACACAAAACCATGACTCATTCTGACAAACACGTTGTGACCCACAATAAGAAGCTACAACAGATAGTGGAGGAGCAAATGTTTGTTCAGAGGTAAACACGGACTTTTGTAATCCTTCCAACTTACATTTAATTAAATTTTCATAGTTTCATCAAACTATGAGATTTTTTTCTAAGCTCCCCGAATTTACTATTTACTCTGAACTGTAACTCTCCCAGAAAGTTTAAAACGTCTTTCAAATCTCACAGTTTTAGGCAAGGGCCATCAGCTCTCATTGTTTTAAGGAGTGTTTTAATTTTCATTCTAGCCTTCTTTGACAAGACAAAGTTGTTTTGCTGGCTTGTTTCCACAGAGTTGGTGACCTTTGGGTCTTATATTACGCGTGGAGATGTCACAGCTGGAAATGTGTAAATGTTTCATTTGTTTATGTAACTGGATTGCAGAAAAGGATCAGGTGAAGGTTTCATTGTTACCTGTCCTTCTTGGGCTATTTCATTATCTTATCTGTTTTTAGTTTCATTTTTCTCTGTTCTGGAAAACTTTCCCATGCACACTCCTGACTTGTGTATTACACTGACCTCCGTGCTGAGGATGTTCTTCCCAGAAACGAAATACCAGAAATTTCTGTTTTTCTGTTTCTTCTTTCTTTAACCAGTTTTCAAACACGCATCTTACAGTGCTAAAAATGTCAATTACATTGAAATTCTATGCTGGGTACACATAGGAAGCAATGTGACACAAGTCTTTAAAATCATTTACTGAAATATGCTGATAGTATCCTGTCATGTGCAAATGTTTTGTTTCTCATAGAAAAATGTATTCACAATCATTAGTTCCTTTGACACTAAATAAACAATACTGAATAAAAAGTTATTCTTATACCAAATCTCATTTCCTGCAATTCCGTAACTGTTGATTTAAAAAATATAAAATAATATTTATCCCCATGTCTTTATTCAGATACTAATTTTGCCACATTAATTAATCACTGTAAAAATTGTAAACTTAAAGGTGTATCAAAAATGCCTCAGATTTCAAGGCATAGTTTCCCCCACATGGCTTGCCAATTCAGATCAAATCAATGCAAAATTGTGATAGAATTATTGTAAAGACCTTAAGATGATTCGAAGGTGTTCTGGTATCTGTAGTAGAATTTCTCAAAAATTTATAAACAGCCTAGATAATAGTATGATATTTCATTCAGGAATTGTGATTTTCACGTGATTTCCAAGCTTTATTTGGCAGTTTCTCAGGCTTTGAGTACTAAGATGTCACTACCTTGTAATAGATGTTAATTATCAAAAACGCTCTGCACCCTGCAAAGCCTACTCTTACTTCCTCCCTCTACAATATCTGAGAACAAGGATGACAGCTTTAGTGTTTTCTAATTTAGACTTTAGAATTGCCCAACTTCCTAATTCATCATCATACTGGGTGAGTTTAGTGAACAAGGATGTTCATTTTAAATACTGATTTTGACATTTCTAACTAGAATCTTTGAATTAACACATTTTAATGGAAATGAAAATAGCAGATTCTATCAAAAATATTCCTATGGTCTTAATTAGAGTTTAAATATGATGTAATTTTATGAAAAAAAAAGGCCTACAATTTGGACTTACCAAAATTAGAAGCATATTCTCCAATGAATCGTTTAGTAAGAAACCTTACTGTAAGGGCTGTAAAAGGAATAAATGAGATTTAAGATTTTTGTGGTTTTGATCTTAATAATTTAGATTTAGTTCTGTACATAAAATTTTATTTTTCACTTATGAATTACCAAGGTTTGGTTAAGATATTAAAAGTTTACTGAATTCTTATTTAAATGATGTTCAGTTTATAGAAACATAATAATTCTATAGCTAGAAAATGTGAGTTTTAGCATGCTTTACACATATAAATCATTATGAAATTAATTGATAATTATAAACATATATGCCAATTTACTTTCATAGTACAATTATATCTCTCATTATATTTGAAATCTGAAGTTTTTACAGCTTTTATTTTATCTACCAAGTAAATCTAGTTCCAAAGTACTATGTTTGGGTGTCCCAACAATAATGTTGAACATTCATAGCTGTTTAAGAATACTGGGACATCAAGCTCAGTATATAGTAAATAGGGAAAAGCGATGCTAGTTCTGCATCTTCCAGAAGCTCCTGCACTCAAGTATCATTGTTAGGCTGGTATCCCATTGGTGAAATCCTTGTTAAGCTTAGATTTTGCACCAGAGTAAAACAAAGCAAAATAGTAACTCCAAAATTAGAGCTTGCTGTGTGGGTCTAGGACAACTGCAACACAGTGTTCCAACAAAGTCCTTTCCCTTCAGTGGAGCTGCGTGTAAAAGACACCCCAAGGGCCCCCATGCAACTCTGCTCACCCTATTGCATAGTAGAAAAGTCCTTTCAAAGCAACTGGCCACAGGCAGGTATAAAGACAAGTGTATTAGAGTGAGAAATAACGGGACAGTAATGGGAAGATTTCTTGTAACTCGTATGCAATGCAAACACCAGTAGAACAAGATACAGATTTATATTTCAAACAGTCACATGTCACACCCTTCACAAATTTCATAAATATTCAGTGATAAGCCTATAAGGCTGAAAACTCCTACCGAAAACAATAATCTACAAGTCAGCTCACAAGTGAATTAGTTATTATACAGGTAGTTGATATATATGACTATTATTTACCATGTCTCTGTGTTTCGACCCATTTCATTGTCCATCTCACACTAAAGGAAACGACACTACTCACCAGATTTGCCTGTGCCTTTGCCACCCAAGACCGCAAGTTTAACATCACTCATCTTGCTTGACCAGCCCAGTCTTTGGAACTCTGCTGACTTGAGCCAAGCACATGCTGTTGTTTCTGTCCACTTCCCTTTTATGGCTGTCCTCGCAGCTCTGAGGTCAACTCCGCTGTATATTCCTATCATCTAATAATAACTGAAAAAATGTCTGCCTACAGAACATTTTAACTTTTTAAAAAATTTTGGGCTACTACTTAGACACTAAGATTTATGAAACTAATAGCTGTATATTTTTAACTGAAGTTTTATTCTTAATCCTCTTCTTCCAAACCTAGAACCTACTTTTCCATAGGACCCAAAAAAGTAACCTATTTTTATTGAGAAAAAAATTTAATGGATGAATGAATACCCCTATATATTTACTCTGAGGTCAGTTTAGCTTACTCTGTTAATACCTGCATCCACATCTTCTGGTGTTTTCTTTTTGTGAAAGACAACAGCAGGATTTAAGGAAACTCAGGCACTAAGTAAGTAAAAGTAAGTAGGGCGATGGTAAATTTGAATTCCAGAGTTTAATTTTGATAGAAATGTGAGTGACTATCCAGGCCACAGATTTTAATCATACAAGGTTCCTGGGGAGAAAACAGGCTTTACAACATAACAGCTTTCCAGTGTCTTATTCCAGACACAAGTGGCATAGAAGAAAAACAGAGAAGAAGAAAAAATGCATAGACCAATGCCATTTGTGAAAACTGACTCCTCAGGTCTGGAGAAATGGCTCAACGATTAAGAGCACTTGTTACTCCTACAGTGGACTCAAATTTGGTTCCCTACACCCACAGTCGATGGCTCACAACCACCTGAAATTCCAGCTCTCAGGGATCTGACACTCTCTTCTGGACTCTGTGAGCACCTGCACTCATATGCACACACACACACACACACACACACACACACACACACACACACGCATATGAATAAAAATAAAATAAATCTTTAAAAATTTTTTCTATATTTTTGAGATTTTTCATACATGAATATGGTAAAGTATAATCATATCTGTTCCCATATCTCCCTCCAAATCTCCCGAAAGTCTCCAACATGGCACCTCCCAACTTCATGTCTGTCTTTTTTTTTTTTTTTTTTTTATAACCCAATAGGTCCACTCAGAGTTGCCTGTATATATGCTTGTGTGTATGTTATAGGGGTCATTCACTTTCACTGGAGCATGGGAAACCTACCAGTTGCCACATCCTTAAAAATGAATGATTCTCCCTCCCCAGAAACTATGCTGTTCAGTACTGGCTGGGACCTAAAGATCCTCTACCCTATGCTAAACTTTGAGCTTCTTGATCCTGTGCAGGTCTTGTGTAGACAGAGACAGCTATTGAGAGTTCATGATTATGATAGCCATGCCATGTCCCAAAGACAGCCTTTCACTGAGCTCTTCCCCGTCCCTTGGCTCTTCCATTCTTTCTGCCTCCTCTTCAAGTGGTCTTCCCTGAGCCTTGGTGGTGGTAAGGTTAATATAGATGACCTGTTAATACTATAGATTACCCGTTAATATAGATGACCCATTAATATAGATGACCTGTTAATATAGATGACCCGTTAAGGTCTGAGCACTGAGTCCCTTATTCCCATCACTTTGATCAGTTATGTATCTTTCCATTGACTACCACATAGTGCTGAAATCTTCTCTGAACAAGGCTGAGTGTATTCCAGGTCTATAGTTTAGATGCCAATTTGACAGCATGATCATTTATTAACAATAGCTGGGTCTACGTCAAGTCCTATGATGCCCCCTGCCCTGGACTTTTGACCAGGATTCCAGTACCAGGCAAGAAATTCCCTCCTATGGAACAGACCTCACATCCAATCAGAAAATGGTTAGTTATTTCATAAGTCATTCCAGTACTGAACCAGTGGGTACCTCTTGCCTGTCAGGTGGATAATGCAACATGCACAGACACCTGGTACCAAGAAAGCCACCTAGCAGAGGGGAAGCTTCCTGGTTGATTTGAGATTTATTTCTCTCTGTGTCCTGCCATCAATGTGTGTGGTGTCTTCAACAATAGGGTCTTACCATGTAGCTATGGTGGGTAACAAACACCAATCACAATAGATTCTACTATTTTGGAGATCGCTGGGGTCTCCCTGACCAGTGATGTGCAGGGAGGTATGCCATGCCTTGTAATGAAACTTTCATTTAACAACTCATATCTTCTGAGAGTGATATTGTCCATTCATGTAGGGAAATTCCATTCCAACTCCTGTTTTCTTAAAGTAGTATTTTGTAATTAGCTTATTTGCTCATGAGTTTCAATAAGGTTTTTTCCTAGATTTTAATATTGATTCACCTGCCCACCTCTCCCTCCTCTTCCTATTACCCAGCCCCCTCCTGCTCAATCTTTTAACCCCCAGTCTTGCCCCTCTCCTCTTTCATTCAGTGTGTTATTTAATATCCCTCCACTCATATTTTAAGCTGCAGCTGTGAGGTGGGAGGTGTCCATGCAGCTTTCGTACCCTCCTCATTTGGATTAGCCCAGCTGCCCCCATTTCTCCTTTCCAGTTCCCACTATTCGACTTCACTACATTTTAACCAGAAACTGACTGTCCCCCCTGCCTTAGCATGCTCCCCTCCAACGTGCCTTTCTAACTTCCTGGTTTCCACTTGTTTTCTAAGCCAGAATCTGTGGGTGAGAAAGAATACTGGTGTTTCTATTTCTAGGCTTGATTTACTTCACTCTATAATTTTTTTCTACTTCCATTCATTTACTTCAAATGAATTCATTAATAAAATAAATCTTTAAAAATATTTTAAGATAGACTCACTTGTGGATACTTTTATATGATAATGTAAAATTTTCTAATGGAAGATAGAATTTTTAAGAAGAAATTGTATTTTAATTTCATAAAACACAAGTGTTTAAGCAGTTCACAGATTTAGATGACTTGTGAACTTTCAGGAATTTACACATTATGTAAGAGTTCACTTAGGGATCTAGGAAGAAATGTTAGCAATAGGGGAATGATGGGCATTTGATTGCTAAGCGTGGCCTGTCTCCCACTTTCAAGATACTTCGTTCAGTGTGTCAGAGCATAAACAGCACAGGAAACATTCCCAGCTAGAGATAAGAAGCAATCTCTCTGCAATCACAAGCCCTGAAAAAACAGCCAAACAAACCATTCAATCCAGACATTTACCTAGAAATGAGGAAAATACAGTAATGGCTACAGAAATATGAGGCTTCTACTAGCACAACTAATCCAACATTAGCCAGTAAAATATGATTATCACACTAACCACTGCCTCATTCATATTTGTGTTCTAATTGTCCCCCTACTACATACCACACCTGGTCCCCAGAAACACGTCTTTGCATGTGACTAGTTTTATGTGAACAAATATGTAATGGAAATGGACTTCCCACATTATTTGATCTGAACCCCCAGCTCTTTTCCTTCCTTCCTTCCTTCCTTCCTTCCTTCCTTCCTTCCTTCCTTCTTTCCCTCCTTTCCTCCTTCCTTCCTTCCTTCCTTCCTGATTTCCTTCCTTCTTTCCTTTCTTCCATTTGTTTTTAGCAACTCCTTAATACTTATCAGCAATAATATGAAAACTCATCTCCTCTCCTGCTTTTCCTCCTCCTTCTTTCTTTGTGCTAGGGTTCACTTGGTCTCTTAAATTTGTTTTTAATTGTTTTGTTTTGCTTTTTAGGAAATTGTATTAAGCTATCATTTTAAAAATTAATCCAAATGTGTTTCTGTGTTTTATCAGAATTTCTCACTAGTTGAATTTTGAACCTATAAGATTGATTCCCAAGGATTCTCTCTCTCTCTCTCTCTCTCTCTCTCTCTCTCTCTCTCTCTCTCTCTCTCTCTCTCTCCCAATGCTGTATCATTAAATTTGCCATCATGGATGATACATATTTTTTCAAATATAGATTGCTCTTGGTGGCATGGGCTTCTAATTCCACTGCTTCAGTCACTTTTCTGTTGCTGTAGTAAAACACTATGACCAAAGGCAACTTGTAGGAAAAGGAGCTTATTTTCACTGATGGGTTCTATAAGATATGAGTGCTTCATGGCAGGAAGGCACACTAAGCAGCTTTCACTATGGTGGCAGGGCAGATAATTGAGAGTTCTCATCTTCAGGCACTAACACCAAGCAGAGGAAGTACCTGGAAGTGGGGGAGGCTATGCACTCCAAAGCCCAGCTCCAGTGTCACAAGTCAGCCCAGCGAAGCTTCACCTCCTAAAGACTCCCTGACCTCACAAATAGCACCACCCACTGTGGGCAAAGTGCTCAAAAAGTTGACTGTCTGGGAGGTAGCTCTCATCCAAATTATCACACCCAACATCTTGGGACGCTGAGGCTGGAGGACCACATGTTCAAGGCCACCCTGGTCTATGGGGTAAGTTCAAGGCTAGCTTGGTCAATTTTGTGAGAGTCTGTAGTAAAATCAAAAAGGTAACAAAACAGGACTTGGGGAATAGCTGATTGGTAGAGCATTTGCCCAGCATGAATGAATTATTAGGTTCAGTTCTAATGTATAGTAATATATAATGCATTATTTACTAAATAGATAATAATATATGTATATAATATTATAAACATATAATGCATTTTATTTTACTTTCATGCTGCTTTTGTATTGAATTACTGTACAGATTTGCTTCAGTTTAGATAAACTATCATGCAAGATACCTCCTGTCGATTTATAACTAGGTATACATGGTATCCATTACCAGTATCAAAGAAGTTTACACTCTAACACACCATATAGAATATGATGCTCACTGTATAATATATACCTGTGAGTTATACAGAGATGCATATAATACAGTGAAAATGAACAAATAGAGATATTCCAAGTAATTCAGAAACTCAGTTGACATCATTACTAAAATTGACCTATGAAAGTTAGGATTTCATAATCCTAAATAGTTTTCGAACATGCTTTGAAAAAGATCATTCATTTGGATATAATATTCTAAAGAAATATGTTATTCAATCTGTAATGTTAGTAATTAACTTAATTATATGGACCTATTTC